TCAGCTCTCTGGGTTCTCTGGTAATACTTCTGCTTGTCACTTCCCATCACCACTAGACTTGGATCCAAAATTCTTGTGTTAGGGCTGATTGACACACAAGTGAATTAGGAATCAAGTGGTTAGACATATTAAAATTGAAAATCTTAGAGTTTAGCAATGTTACTGGTATTATTTCTTGATTTGGGGGAGGGTACTGGGGATTGAATCAAGGTTTCAAATTCAAAGTTTCATGTGTTAAGTTACACAACATTAGCCCTTCATTTCTGTACGTTAGTTGGACTATATCATGGTTAAAAGTGATGATCTCCTTAGAGAATCTGTTACTTTTTCTTCAGTTTAGTGAAATTCTTTCCAACCTGTGTCATATTTTAAGCCCTGTCTGACCTCCCGTTTGGAAACTTTATTGATCCTTCTTCCCCCCCCCCCAGGAATTTTTATCTGTTCCCTTCCTATAGTTATATTTTGTTTCAGCTCAAAGCTTGCACTTCTTTTTCCACACTATTCTCTCTCCGTAATACTGCTTTATTCACTATTCTTTCAACATTTCTTTCTTATTGAGAAGAATACAGGTCCTTAATGTTTTGACCTGACACTCAGAATATGCATTTGAATTTCTATATAAATTCTTAAATTAACATTTTCAAATACTAAGAAGCATCCCAATTTTTTTCCAGTATGAGGTAATGGTCAAAACATGGTGAATATTTTAATTTTAAGAAATGTATTGCAGTAGAGGACATTGCCATTGATCCTCCTCAAAATGCATACTTTCCCTTCAAACACACTTATCCCATTTTTCTTGTCACTTTCTGAAGCGGTTCTGGAATTCTCTCATTAGTGTCCAGTTGCACCATTGTGGCTGCCTCGATGTCTTGATTGATTTAAAATATTTATCTTTCATGGTCATTTTGACTTTGGGGAAAAGCCAGAAGTTGCACAGTGCCAGATCTGGTGAATAAGGTGGATGAAGATACACTATTTTTTTTTTAAATTTGTAATTATTGTACCAGAAACAATATGTGACACAACATTGTCATGATGGAGGATGAAACCATTTGTGCATTTCTCAGGCCATTTTCTACACATGTCATTTCTTAAGTGCTCTAATAAGCCCTTAAAATACTGTTCCTGGGTACAAATTCAACTTGCACAATTCCATCAAAGTGAACACAGTCAACATCACTTTGATGTTAGATCTCAGTTGACATTTTTTTTCCACAAGGAGGACTGGGTGATTTCTATTGAGAACTCTTGAAGTGTGGTTTCAAGATCATAACCATGGTCTCAAATTTTATGTCCCCTCATGACATTTCTTCAAAAGCTGGAATCTGAAGGAGGAATCACACAACTGTAATTAAATTGAAAAAATTTCATGTTAATGTGGTGTCTGATTTACAGAATACTTGTAAAAAACATTTCTCAACTGTAGCTCTCAACTGATTCCACCAAACAAGTTAGAACTTGTCACACACACTGTTACTAAGGTTCGGTGCATCACTTCTTGTATTGAAAATCTCTGCCTTTCCATTGGGATGGCACACAACAGCAGCATTCTTTTTTTTTTTTAATCACACTCCATGTATTGTTGTACCAACACATCTGTCTCTGGCTCACTTTCTCACCCTAAAAAATTTTTTTTTGTTTGTGATCAAGGGAGAACATATAGTTGGTGAAGGCTTTCACTTAATAGATTGGAATATCATTGAAAAATTAATGTCTACATATATTTTAGTGATCCACATTTGAGCTCAGTACTATTATAGCTCATATCATTGAAACCATTTACATATTCATCTAAGCATATCTAAATTCTGATTTCTAATTTAGTTTTCATTTTTAAAAAAATGAAATTATTAGAAATTTAGGTATGCTTTTACTAATGGAAGTGCTTGGTCTTGATATATAATACATGTTTCAGAATATAATTAAATAGTTCTAAAGGCCTAAAATATTTGTTTTTATTTATTTGGCTGTCTTAGGTTCCTCTATTCTGTCTACTGATGGCATTCTTCTTTCATTTAAAAATTTTAATCTTACTTTGATAGTTTTTAAAATGTTGATTCCAAATTGATTATTTATCAAAACATCTTTTAAAAGCTTAAAAATAAAAATAATACTTATAGAATGTCCTAGCTCATCAGAATCTACGCAGTAATTTTATGAAGAGCTTAACATTCTAAGACTAAACATTTCTGTTTAATATGTAAAAACGTTGTGTCATTAGCTCAGCATTTTATAAAATACTTAACATGTATAATTTTATTTATTAAAAAAAATTTGGCAATGCTAAGGATTGAGCCCAAGGCTAACTAAGCAGATTTTATTTTTTATGTGTGGCTATGGAATATATAACAATATATGATTATAGTTTTCTATCTTTAGTCTTTTCTTGGGAGGCTGTGTCCTTCAGTTCTTAAGCATGTTGCTATATGTGGAACACTGGTCACTTTTATGTTCACATCACAATGTAAAATTTATTCAAACTAATAAAAACATTGATTTGGAGAAGTGTGGAGAGTGAACAAAGGGGACTAGAACCATGCCCAGCTTGTATATAGCAGTATGTGGCTGTGGTATCATTTATGAGTTGAAAGGTAGCTGGATATTTCCATTTTGGTGTCAGTCCCTTGGGAAGAAAGAGGTTTCATAATTGGGTGTGATCCACACTCTTAGAGTGATTGACACTGAATGATTAAGTAGAAGAGGAGAATAAGTACCACCCTTTTCCCTTTTACAGACTAACACATATACACTGAATGCTAATCTTTTCAATGTAAATTACTGAATGTAATCTTTTCAAGGCAGTCTGGCCTAATGATAGCATGAATCTAAAAAGCCAAGCGGGTGAATTAACTATGCAAATCAAAATCCAAGGAAACCAAAATTATATAGTGTCCTTAAAAATAAGTGTTAAAACCCACATATAATGGTATCACAGAGTGTGATCGAAGACCCCATTTGTGAAAGTAGAATTCTGACATCAGCCCTTTGGTCAATGAGTGGGCAGAATGGTTCCCTGAATTGGATAACACAGTACGTACCACACTGACTGATGAAATTGATGTGTCGGCAGGAGAGCCAGCTCTATTACTGAAGCCTTTAACCTATTTTCTCTTACTTCAAAAATGAGCTCTTACTGAATATCATTCTTAGGAAGTGAATTTAATTCAGAAGGAGATATTTTACAGATGGGTAAATTTGATTTAAGAGTTCACTTATCCATTGTAGAAGAGAACTTTGTGGGAAAACATTATTGTAAGTAGTATATTTTTCAAAGATGCCATTTTTTAGTGTTTAGGCATTAATCAGTAATTTTTATTCTTTAACTTTATACTCTCTTAGAACATGTTTGAAACCATATTGAATCTGCACTGTAATATTGTGTTAGCTTATCATATTATGGTATGCAGTTTTGTGAGAAATACATAATTAGCACATTTCTTGGTTTTTCCCTTAAGTTTTTAGAAATATGATCCAATCTGTTAAGATAAATACCTGTTCATGATTGCAAAAAAGTAGAAGCTCATCTTAGGAATCTAAAGTCTCTATGATAACATTGATAACTGAAAAAACAGACATCTGTTACCCTAGTTTTTGCCAATTCAGAATTCTCATCTTTTATAATTGATCCCAGAGCATAAAATACTAAGTATCCTGCATATAATGCTTATTAGGTTAGTAGTAGATTAGTAGTTTTTTTTTTATAGGAGGCAGTATAAGTTACCCAGCTTGATGTTCTCTCACACACATATAATTAATTTTGTTTGTTATTCTGATCTTGTTAATTTTCAGTACGCACATATTTTGCTATGTTTTAAACACTGTGACCTATTGTTATTTGTGCTTCATTATGAGAATTATGTATTTGGAAAATAAATTTAAAATAGAAATTTTTTGAAACATTTCATTTGGGAAAAAATCAGGAAATTCTATATTCAGTAACCAGGTAAAAAAAACATTGTAAATACAAATTTGTCTTAGTTTCTCCACTTTATGGCCTTTTTTTGGTTTCCATATAAAATTTTAATAGAAAGGAAATCTGAGCAAATACATCCTCCAAATAATTTCCTTGCTCAGCTTTTAGAAACTAAAGTCAAATTTTCAAACATCTAGTACAGTGCCATATCACCAGTGCACATTCAAGTATTAAGAATAGATTTATGTTTATTTAAATTTAGGAGAATTTATTCTAAGGGGAAGGTGTCTATAGAAAAAAAGACAAACTTTTCCAGTCGCTGAACTATTATCAGACTTTATTAACCTGATCTAAATATTTAGGACATTTATTTTATAGCACTTTTCTGGTTCACACACTTTCAGTATTGTTCTAAAATTACTTGGTAATTTGCCCAAGTATGTTCTGACTTCCTGACTAGGTATCTTTCTTATGTATCAAATTTCACTGTACTGCTTAATTTTGTACAAAGGAAAAAATTCTGCTAGCTCTTTTGGCTTCCACAGTCAAAATAATTAACACTCAAAAAAGTGTTAAATTCATAAAATTTAATTCGGTCTATAATTTTTCCAGTAGCTAAGAGAAACGCTATTTCACATCATAGCAAACAGCTGTACATATTTTTATTCATTTTTAAAACCCACTGGTTGGTTTTGTTGAGTGGTGATTGCCCTCTAGTGGACAAAACTGTTCTCTTAAAATAACCTGTCAAATTTAAATGAGTCATTTCTACCTGGAAATGATTGAATATTCTTTTGTATTTTAGTACTCTTGTTTTTCACTGGCTATTGTGTTTATAACAACTAAATTTACTGGAACATTTTGGTGATTATGACTCTTGAAGCATCTAGTATAAATAACATTATATACTTTAAAGAAGGCACATTAAAATAAACCAATCTCATTGACAGTTTGTGTATTTTGTTAAATTCTTAAATTATGTGTGTATTGCTATTTTACATACTTTTAATAATTATTAAATTACTTACATTTTTATGTCACATGCTACTTATTTCTAAGATGCTTTCCTCGTTCTTGCTTACAGATGCTACAACTGTGGTGGCCTTGATCATCATGCAAAGGAATGTAGTCTACCTCCTCAGCCAAAGAAGTGCCATTACTGTCAGAGCATCATGCACATGGTGGCAAACTGCCCCCATAAAACTGTTGCACAGCTGCCTGCCAGTTCTCAGGGAAGACAGGAAGCAGAATCCCAGCCATGTACATCAGCCTCCCCTAGAGAAGTTGGGGGAGGGCATGGCTGCACATCACCTCTGCTTCGTCAGGAGGCTACATCAGAGGTCTCAGATCGGTCAGGCAGGTCACCTCCAGAAGTTTCCTCCATGAAGGCATCTGCAGCTCCAGAAGAGCAAAACAAAAAGGGGCCTTCTGTTCAAAAGAGAAAAAAGACATAGTCCTTCTTAATGTATTGTTTTCCCTACCTGATTGGGAAGTCTACCTCATGCAAGTACAGGGAAACAGCATTTCACAGATAGCAGCTGACCTGAGATTTCAACTACTGTTGAGGAACTGTGGATTTTTTTTTTTAACAGACAAATCACTATAAGCAAATTACATTTGAGCAGGTTGTCATATTTGAGAGGAGAGAGCCTGGATCTGTGTGTATGTATGAGGATTTTACATAGGAATGTAGACATATATATAAAGATGGTTTGTCTTTATATGTGTGTGTTATGGATAAGCACATACCCTCCCTCACATAATTGGATATCTCCAGGAAATTGAAAATCCATGTGAAGCATTTAAGATGGTTTAGAAAATAATACCATGAGTTTTTCTTAAAATATCACCTTTTTATATTACATAAAAATGAAAATATGACTGTTACCTTTTGTGTGAACCAAAGGATACTTCAAATCTCAGAGATGCCAGTCATATGGTACTGAAGGTTTTTTTAAGATACCCAGTTTCTCCCGAGTTTGGGATTGCCTCTTTTTCTTGCTATCTATGGAGAGGTGTTTTTTTTTTTTCCTCCTCTTTGAAGGCAGTACCTTACCTCCATATGCTTCTGACTGCCATAGCTTTTTTGATTCTGGGATACATAACTCCAGAAAAGACAATGAATGTGTAATTTCTGTGCCGACATTTCAGTGTTTTTAATTCTATGTTTTGATTGTAAATTACATGCCTAATAAGAAAAATGAAGGGGAGGGTAATGTATAAATGTAGTAAGTTGATTATTTTCAGTGGTATTTTGATACCAGCTCATTATAATCTTTTACATGGGTTGTGACAACAGCAGCTTCCCTTAACTGAGTCGATCTTGTAAGCATCACTTAGTGCAGGGAGCTCTCCTTATTTACTACTGAAGACCTTAGAGGAGAACTCCAATCATATGGTCTGTATTTTTTGGTGGCTATTTTTATTCCCCCTGGAGAGTTCTCTAACTTGTTTCTAAAAAGCAGCATGGAAATGAATAAAATACTGGGATTGAGAATAAAAATTAAGTAGATGCTCATAATTTCCCAGTAAGTTTGACCTGTGAATGATACTAAAAAGTAGTGTTTGGTGGCAGGCAACTAGAGTGAAAAGCCTGGTACTAAAACCTCTCTCATCATATAATTAGAAGCATCTTGTACAATAACATTGATCTGATGAACATTACCTTCAGCACGTATGCTGAAGGTACCATGTGGTGGATCCAAGATGAACATCAGATGCTAGGGTTAGAGAATCTTCTCAGGTTGGTTTTCAGTTATAGTAACAAACTGGCTAGGGACCAGTTATAGTATTGGTCTCTTTAGGTTTCAGTTATGAGAAAAAATGAATTTGGTGTCATCCTGTTTCTATAAATTATAGGTAAATTTCTGAAACATTTCCAAAAAAGGTACCAATTAATTAGAATGCTTACTATTGGCAATAAATATAGTTTTGAATGGGCCTGTTAATGTAAGCTCAGATAATCAGAGAGAGAAAGAGAGAGAGAGAGAGAGAGAGAGAGAGGGAACACAAACAGCTTGACTCAAATAAGACATACTCTGCTGAACAGTTCCTGCTCCCTTTTCTGTTGTCCTGTCATGGATTCTGGGATAGTTGCTACTGTTTCAGCAAGCCATCTGAAGAACCACATGCCTCAGGCTGGCCTGCCAGTCCTTTATAGCTCAGCCTGGATTTCACAGCACTGTTTATAATTTCACAGCACTGTTAATCTCCATGGTTATATTGAAATATCAGTGTGCTATGATGCCTACCTTTGACGATATTGAATGTGATATAGCTGTAGAGAAGTATTTCCTTGCCTTATGTGAGGATTTCAAGCTTATTTAAATTATGTAGACAAATCAAAGTGGCATTGCTTAACTTTTAGCAGGTATAATAAGCAGATTAACAGTAAAAATGCAAAATATGACAAGTCACTTTGAAAATTCAAACCAAAGTTCCTTGACTTTTTAGAAATAGGAAATTATGGACTTGAAAATTGGGCATTCCCTGTTTACATGTAAAATGTTCAGAGCTGAGATCATGATAGAAAATGAAAATAGAAAAGACAGAAACACTTGAGAACTGCGGACCTCATGGGTGCAATTTTAAATCTTCTACATCTGACTAGACTGAACTACAAAGAGCACATACCAAACCTATCTTATGGTTAAAAGTTGGGGTTTATTTTTTATATGAGAATATTGTCACTATTACATAACATACTCAGGACAAATAACTTTGCTCAGGGAACATTCTGTATAATGTTGTTATTTCTTTACAGACTAGTCTACAGTCCTGCTTACTCAAAACAAGCCAAATAACTTAGACCTTTATGTAAGTACATGTACTTGATGTTAGTAACTACCTCTGAGTTTGACATAGATCAAAATTTTGAGTATCAGATATCAATTCTATTTTCATTTCATATGAAAAGTCCCCTAAAGCAGAATTCCTCAACTCCTTGCAGATGTGAATATCACTGATATTGTTCATTTACCTTGGTGAAATATTCTTCTGTTTACAGCAAAGGGCTACCTCATTGTTGATACATAGCACACCTTTATGCTGCTCTAGCCTTACAGATGACTGAGAATTCTCTGGTACAGAATTTGTATTATAGATAGTAATTCATAACTGCATGTTTCTGATAAACATGTTTGAATAATGAATCTCATTTTAATTAGCAAAGTCTCCAAGCATTTCCTTAAAGTTAATCATGTATTTAGTTTGAAGAATTATGGGCACTCTTCAGCTTAAGCAAACCAGAACACAAGCAATCTTGGAAATAGTTGCTTTGTCCAGAGCTGGGGGGTTCAGGAAAGGGTAGCAGGAGGAGGAATTGGTGTATTAGTGTACAATATTCATCCTGGGCAAGTGGTATAAAATATGCCACATTCCTTCATTTACATGTCTCTGCTACCCTGAAGCCAAAATATATTGGATTATTATAGCCCCAGGCAGGTAACTAGCACTGGCATGCCAAGGAGTGAACTTAAAGTGTAATGCCATTCCTAGCTACTGAGGGGAAAGGGTCTATGGGAAGCAGCAGTTTGCAGGAGTTACTAATGATGGGGCAGAAGGTCTGTGAAGCAAGCTGTCTCTTGAACTCAGCCTCATGCTAACACAAATGTAATTCCTAAGAAAGGTGCACTGCCAATCTCTTAGCCCTATCAGCTATTCATTTGCCTCAAGGCAGATTATAGTGAAAACATTTTTATAGTTAAACATTTCTAGTCTTTGGATGTATTTTTACAGTTGAAAGAGTTAGAATGGTTTTTACCTGCTTACAATTTGGAAATTTAGCATGCAATGTAAAGAAGAAGAAACATCATGTTATTAGCATCAGTCCACCTCCAAATATAAGACATTTTAATTGCCAGTATTTTTTTATATTCTGGCTCAGTTTTATTTTGCACCAGTGCAGCCCCAAGTTACTGCTGGTTGTATTTAGTTTGTGAATAGAAGCCCATAAGTGTTAATAAACTTTGTAACATTCACTTTAAGATGAATTATACAGAACATGGGTAATCTCATTAAGTCTTAAAAGTTAATTTAAATTAATTTATCTGTTTTCCCTAAGAAATGTTTATCAGAAAATATATATGCATATTTCTCCTTTGGTTATAAAATTTGGGAAAATATGCAGCCGCACTGACTTTAATTTTTTAGGTATCTTAATGAGATTTATTTGTTTTAGAAAAGAACAATTATTGAAAGATCAAATTTTGTCTGACATAATTGTCAACAGCCTCTTTAAAATGTGGTTGTGTGATCTGTGTCCTAGTTATTCTGTTAGAGTGAGAGATTGACCTATGATTCATTGTTAAATTTCATGTTTGGAATGAAGCTGCAAAGTTATGGTAAAGTACTGTACTATGAGAAAGTATTATGATATTTAATACATCTGTGGCTTAACACTTGTGAAAATTCCCAGCTTGATAATGATGGTGTTGACTACCTCTTTAATCCCATCTATCAACCACTGGCACCTACCACCAAGCTGGCTTTAATAGTATGTGTTGCTTCTTTTGGTATTAACACCTCTATCCATACTAGAGACCAAAGTGAACCCTGATTTCTGTGTCTTAATACAGTGTTTTATCTAGTATTTTAAAATTATACTGTGTAGTATTTAGATTTAATCTCATTGTCCATTTTGATTCATGTTGTTTACAAGTGAAAATTTTTTAAAAACCAGTTGAACTGTTTGTAAAGGACAAAAAAGAGTTGATGTTTAGAATGAGACTTCACTCATGTTCATTCACCTCGATGGACTAAAGTACTGTTTGTCTTTCTTCAGATGTGGGTTTTATATTCTCATTTCATGCCTGTTGTCTTATTCTGTTAATTATGGATATTTTGAGGCTTAAAAAGTACTTGATTAAAAAATAAACATATAACATCGACATTTATGATGGGTTTTGAAGATTTGTCATGATTTATGTGATTGCTCAGTTAAGTAAATGGATAAAAGCCATTTAGGCAGTATTTACAGAAATGTAAGCATAAGTTAAATGGCTTTGGCATATTCTCAGATAGTGGTAGTTATTAACATTTAACTCACTTATGACAATACAAACAAGAAGGAAAGGTGGATCGATCCTCATCTTAAGGAATTGTCCTGTATCACCCAGAAAGGATTATAGATTTTTTTTTTCTAATAAAGAATTTGAAAAGGACAATCACAGCCAGAGTACACCAGCACCAGCTATCTAAAATGTGACTGTAGATTGCTCAAACTCTTGAGTGCAGTAGTGATGTGCTGTAAAAACAATTTGGTAAAACTGTTGACTTCTATAGATTGGCCAATCTCATAATTAAAACTCGTTTGCTATTGTATACCTGGATGGTTCACTTAATTCTTTTGGTGGTCTACAATGACTTCTACATTTTTTTTCTTTTATTTTTAATTGTGATAAAATTTACTTCTTTAGCCATTTAACTGTACACTTCAGTAGTTTAGTACATTTACATTCTTGTGCAAGAGAGGATGATTCACTTAGATGTGAAGAGGTTTTTGTTATGAAAAGCTTTGTGTTAAAAAGTATTGTACTAAAAAAAAAGTATTGTACTGACTTTACTGTACAGAATGTGGAAAACCTTTTTAAAAAACCATAATTCCATTACCTGAAAATAACAAACCAGTAACACTTTTCATTAATTTTAAAATATGGAAAGCCTTTTTAAAAATAAAGTGAAAAATTGTTCTGTCACCTAGAAATAATTTCCTTTTGGTCAAATAAATAGATTAATATATACATAAAACATACATACAAACATATGGGTATTATTTTTAAAATTGATTTACATTACAAATGGTTTGGAGCTTTATCAAACAGAGTTTTGTCATATTAAAAATTGTCCAGAAATAGCACTTTTGATAAATACGTAGTTGGTTTGAAGAAGCAAGACTCAGGTTGGGCACAAAGGACTGCCTACTTTGGGTGAAGGAATACCAACAAAGAAACAGCACCAACAGAAGGACCAGAGCCAAGGATAAGCAGTGAAGAGACCAGCTTCAGTGGATAGAGTTGGAATACATTGGAGGACAACTGATGCATCCAGGAATCTGAGAGGCAACAAACCTTGAAAATAGGGAAGAACCTGAGGCTGGCACCTTCTTTACCCCTATCTCTTCTCTACGAGCACTTTGCAGCAGGAGGAAGAAGGACCCAAATAGGAAGCAGCATCTTACTGAGCAGAGGAAACAAGTTCAGGGCTGCCGGAACAAGAGCCTAGGGAGTAAAACTTGAGAGGGGCTCATTTTCAGGATGGTATCTTGCCATAGGTACCTTCTTGTCTTACCCTAGTTTTGTCCCTGGCTGGCAGACTGAAGAAATTAAGGATTTCACTCAGTGAATTATGTGGGTCTTGGTAAACACGTGGGCTCTTTGTATTACTCCAAAGAGGGTATATAGACCCTAGAAAGGCTATATGCTAGGAATAAGGATCATGCCATAGAACCAAAGGTCATACACTAGAAAAGGATGAAAAATTAAACCTAACTCCAATGAAGCCTAAAAGTAACCTTTAATGGAACCAAGGTGCCAAGCTGGTATGTTACCGACCTGAGGAAATTTTAGCCCTCTTTGGGAGAAGTGACTATTCAGAGCCTCTACAAGAAGTTTTCATCTAGAATGTCTGGTGCACAATCAGAACATATGAAGCATGCTCATAAATAACCCCATTTACTAGAAACAACACACAACAAAAATATATGCACTGGCAATTCAAATGTTGCAGTTATTGTACAAAGTCTTAAACACCTTACAAATACATAAGTGAAACAAAATATGGAGCCAACACTTAACAATCCCTGAATAAGAATTCAACAGATGAGGTTAATAGCACACCAAGAGCAACAGAAAATTAGCAAATGGAAAGATAGTGCAAAGAAAGTATCCAGATTAAGGGACAGAAAAATTTGGTGCAAAATGCATGAAACTAATTGTGGAGAGGCTTGATAAAAATAGCAACATGGTCTGTCCTACTTGTTTGAAATGAGAATAAGAAAGGAGAACAAATATATTGCTGCAACTAGAAAAGAGTTAAAAATTGCTGAAGATGAAAAGACTTGCCTACTTTTTGTTTACTGTGTTAATTATAGGAAAATAGCAGAGGTGAATGTGGAAATCCAACAAGCTATTACAGTTGTACAGTTGTGGGCCGTAGATTTAGCTCAGTGGTTCTGCCACCTGCCTCACAAGTGCGAGGACCAGAGTTCGATCCCCAGTACCAAAAAAGAGACTCATACAGTTATACAGTTGTTTCCTTAAAAGTGTAATTGTAGTCTTCCTTCCCAATTTTCTTGCTAAAATAGTAGCTAGAAGTTTTATTGGGTTTCTGCTGTTTGCTTTTATGCCTGAATGTGGATCTTCCCCAGAACCTCATTATGAACTTGAAACTGAAGTGAATTTCACGATAAAACAAAGAAGATAGATCCTAATGTCAGGGAAGAACAACCCTTTGCTTCCATTTTTCAGTAGTATCTTCACTCCATAATGCAATGGTATGTGTTTGAGGACTGAAGGAAATGGAAACCAGTGGGGAGAGTCTGAAGGTTCTAGAAAAGAAAGTATAGAGCCAGTTTTATGAAAGAACAAGGCTTTTTATTATCACTTCTTTCGGTTGCTCTCTAAGTGACCATTTGGAGGAAACACAAGGTACTGTTGAAAGTTCGTGTGTATACTGATTCTGAGAAAAAAATAATTTTGGCATTTTAATTAAATTCTACAGACATTGAAAAATGGGGGCTTGGGTGATCTGAATTTGTATACATGTTTAGAAATACACAACCTATTAGACTATTGCACCCCACATGCTGATTTAGGAAAACGTAGTTCATCACATCTGTCCTCTCCAGGGAACAACACTTGAGAAAAGTATGAAGTTGTAGTGTATAAATGATAGGTAGGAGAATTTGATAAAGTAAATTACAGGTAATCGAGTATGCTTCTGTAGTAAGTGGATTTTTCTTTTGTTTTGTTTTGTGTAGTAAGGCCCATTTAGGGTAACAGGAAAACCTAGCACCCTCTGCTTTCCTTCTGTGAATACAAACAGCCCTGCATTTCTGTTACCTACCACTGTTTGTGCCTCCCATATAATGTGAAAGTTGTCCAAATTAAAATGGAGTTGCTTGTGCCAGACCTAACAAAAAGCTGAGAAGTTCTGAAGGAGGAATTCTCTTGCACATGTGCCTGATAACAAAACTATCTTTTAGAACCTCATCACCACAAATGCCTGGCAAAAACTATAAGTAACAAAAACTATCTTTTAGAACTTCACCAGTCTCCAAATGTTTGAAGGCAGTCCTCAACCCTACCACAAAACAAAATAAATAAGCAAACTGAGTTAAGTTCAGATTGAGATCCCATCTCCATATTAACAATGACTATTGAAATTTAGTATTTGATGATCACATATGGTGAAGGGCTCATACATAGAAGAATAAATGTCTTGACCATTAATTCTTACTACCATATCAAATTAGTATATATATTTTCTCAGAAATTCTTAATGCCAAATAACAAGTTATATATAAATTCTGCTTTAATAAAATACAGTATTCAATATTTATTTACATAGTTATTTAGAAGAATATAAATAAGCCCAAATTATCTTTTTTATATACATAGAAGCATGGCATTTCATTATTTCTAGAGATAGACAATATGGTAGTCTTTATTGAAGCTTATTGAGCAGATGTATCTATAGTTGCTTATTTTTCCCCAAATCTCAGCTGAACTTACTTATAATTACTCAGCCAATGCATAAAATTGTGATAGATAAAGGTTTCAAAACACTGAATTTAAGTACTGTAACCAAAGTGTGTAATGAGTTACTCCATGATACCTATGTGGAGGTTACAAAAAACAAAAAGATCCCACTTAGAAGTGCCATATTGACAACCTAAAATGCTTAAGCTAAAAATTATTTCTTAATTGAGCATTACCTCCACTAAAATTTTCTTCAGAGCTTAGGTAAAAGGTGACAAATAATATGGCACAATCTAAATAGTGTGTCCTAAGGTAGTCCATGGTACAACAATTCTTTGGGAGTGTGACAAGCCCTTAGTGAAGCTGGGTGGGTGGAGGGATGAGAAAAGATCTGTCACCGAGTACCAAATTACAGTTAGATTAGAAGTAAGTCCTAGTGTGCTGAATGGCACAACTACAGATAAAAACTATATTCTGTGTATTTTTAAGAGCTAGAAAATTCTAATGTTTTCACCATAAAGAAGTGATTTGAGAAGATAGTTTAACCTGATTTTAATATTACATGATGTGTACAATCTTTATTTTGTGCATTAAGAATAACTTTAAGAGAAGTCTTTATAGCTAAGGTGAAAGTCTGATTTAAGATTAACTGTAGAAGAACCAGTTTCATAGTCTGTGATTAAAGATTGAACATTGTGATGAAAGATGTTTCTGTTACTGCTTTACACCACCAGAGGGCACTCTTCATTTTTTGCTCAGAAACATTCTTTACATCATCTGATAACTGCTATTTGAACACTGAATTATTTCATATTGATAAACTTACCTAGAAAATTTTCTGACTGGAAAAATATTTAATTATAAGGACTTCATGCACTTTTATGTAGAAGACAGGCTGTCAATGTGGAGTTCATGATGCCAAGAGAATGTCAATATTCATCCCAGGCTCCTAGGGCAGTGAAGCTCAGCCAGTCCCAGAACTCAGAAGGAAGCTCCCCCGCTGCCATCCCAAGCTCCTAGAGCAGAGAAGGTGAGCCTCGTGGGCGCCAGAAACACCCCCTCCCTTGGAAATGAGAAGACACGTAAACAAGTCTCAAAAACAGACTCCTGGATCACCTACAGTAACCCCAAAGGGAAATGAGATGGAACAATCTGATACTCAACCACTTGGACTCTCTGAACTGGCAACAAAAGAG